ATGTAGGACTGCATTTTGCCTATGAAATTTATGGGATTGCTTTAAGTTGACAGCTGACTTAGAAGGTATATAAACACCTGCCATCTCATGATAGGACAATAGCTTCAGTTTGGTTATTCTGGCTTCTAGGAAGAGTTCAGGTTTGATGTGCTCTTGGGTCCATTTATCTGTCTTTAGCAATCTGTGGTATCTATAGAACTTTCCTGCGGCACTACATTTCAGATAATTAGATTATCTTTCTGTCAGCTTATTTCACAGACTGCTTTTGTTGTCCTACATAGAAATCAGAAATACAATGGCATGACCTACCTTTTGGTACTCTGTGATATGCCATTACATTTGAGGGTGGCACCCTCATATCTACATTTCCAAGTCTTAATTTTATTTTTATTTATTGGCTGTAGTCTCTGTTCTCATTGATGACTGCACCCAGATATAGAAAGACTTAATCATTCATTTTAGAAGAATGTAAATAATTTGTGATCATGGTTTTTATCGATTTTCAGTTGTAACTGTACTTTTGCATTTTCTTGCTTGATGTTCTACAACAGTTGTTTCCAGTCTTTGCTATCTTCTGCAAGTAACATGGTATTATCTGCAGAAATTGTTGATATTCTGCATATAAATAAAATAAATAGAGAAAGAAAGTGCTGCCTTACCTAATCCCCTTTCCACCTGGAAATATTTCTGTTTCTCCAAATTCTGTCCTTATAGTGGCCTCTTGTCTTGAATTTATGTTACACATCAAGACTATGTGTCATTCATACCTATTTTTTCACATTTAAATGTCAAGGAAAAAAATCACCCTGCCTGTTCCTCGAGTTCTTCTGGATTGGCTCATAACTCTATCCCAGCACTCTCATGGGTACATCTGGTGAGAATACGGGAGAGGGCCTTCTCAGTGGCCATTCCAATGTCCGGTAACTCCCTTCCCAGGAGATTATGCTGGTCCCTCTTTGATAAACAGGCAGCCCCCAAGTTATGAACTAGATAGGTTCTGTAAGTTTGTTCTTAAGTTGAATTTATACGCAAGTTGGAACAGGTACACTTTTTAAGAGTAGTTCCAGCCAAAAATGTATATTTTTAGCTTAGGATAGCATAGAGAAGGGTTAACAGCCCTGTAGTGTTTGCTTTTCTGTCTGTGCCCCTGTTCAGAAGATTCCATCTCATTTTCTGTTCCTGTGAAAATGGGATTTTTTTTTGTAAAAAAAATAGCTTGTTGTGGAAACAAGGAGTAGTGAGAACTTTTCAGTTGAGGCATCTTTTCCCCATGACAACTCTTTCAGAGTGAATTTCCCTTTCTGGGGGCAGATTTCTCTCACTTCCTATTGTTCCCGTTCTTAACTATGAGTTATTTGCAAGTTGGATGTTTGTAACTCGGAGACTGCCTGTACTTTTCTAGGCAAATGATGCCCTTCTTGTGTGATTAGGCCTTTGAGGGCTGACTGCTGTGCTGATTATATATATTCTTCAGCACTTTTAATTTTTTTATTAATTATATTTTTAAGTTTTGCACAGTATTATTTTTTTAGCGGTTAACTTTTGTAAGATTTTTGTGTCCCATACTAGGAAAAAGGCAATATAATCATCATCATCTGGGAAAGCAGTGTTTTTATGAACCATGAGGGCATCCTTGCATTTTCTTTTATGAAGGACTGTCCTCTTTTTAAAATGTTGTCCAGCCCAGGTCTGATCTAAAGATCAAGCACCACGTGGGGGCAGATTAGATACCTAGAACTTGTCCATCAATAGAGAACATGTAGATAGCAGCCTGAGCAGGGCCACCTGTTCACAGTCTTCTCCACTAGAGAGATATGTATTGTGTGCCTGCTTGAATTACAGTTATCTTTTGTAAACAGACATATGGACGTGCAAATAGGTAAATATGTCTGTGTTATAATTTATTTTTGGATTTCTTTTTTGAAGTGTAAGTGGTTTCCCTGATACGTAATTCTCTATGAGTGCTGTGGCATAAACTTTCGTAAGCATTGTTGTTATTTCTCAAATGCCTGCAATGAAGTGAGAGTATAGTATATGTATGTATCTTTATTATGTCCAATCAGTCTAGATTTCAGTTGCTTCTCTTTCCCCAGTCTTCATGGGTTGATGGTATCTTGATGGTATATTTTAAGCTGTGTTCACTTTCTGACTTAAATACTAATAAATCTTGGTGTATGCTCAGACTGAACAGTGTTTTGACTGAAATGCCTTTATCGGTCAACAAAAATGCACAATATGTTATGCAAGGTTTGAAAGCTATAAAAGATAAAGGTTTTCCCCTGACATTAAGTCCAGGCATGCCCAACTCTAGGGGTTGGTGCTCATCTCAATTTCTAAGCCAAAGAGCCGGCGTTGTCCGTAGACACCTCCAAGATAATGTGGCCAACATGACTATATGGAGCGCCGTTACCTTCCCGCCAGAGTGGTACCTATTGATCTATTCACAGTTGTATTTTTTCACACTGCTAGGTTGGCAGGAGCTGGGGCTAACAGCGGGAGTTCACCCTGCTCCCTGGATTCAAACTGGCGACCTTTTGGTCAGCAAGTTCATCAGCTCAGCGGTTTAACCCACTGCGCCACCAGGGGCTCCGTTTGAAAGCTAGCATAATGTATAATGTGTATTGGTTGGCCAATACATTTGTCAGTCTTGGATGGATTGTGGATTTTGTTGTATCCATGTTTCCTATGTTAAATAGTTTAAAGCTAGCTCAGTCCCTTGACTGGAATAACGGAAGTGCTTGGCAACTTCTTAGAAGTCACATTTTAAATGTTAAAATAATAATATTTGCCTAGATATGAACTTCATTTTTGCTTGGGGAACAAAAAGGTCATCTGAATACTGCTTGTATCCAATTTATTTATTTACAGCATTTATATACCGCTTTTTTCACCACGAGGGGGACTCAAAGCGGTTGAGTGCTGTGCAAGCCAGAGCAAGGGGAAATTTACTTGAGTGGATCACAGGCTTCTAAATTCCATGGTCAGCATGGGGTTGTTTAAAACAATAATTGACAAAGAAGAAAAAATAGACACTTCTCTCTCTGTACGTGTGCAACAGTATACGTTCAGTGTTCAAATTTGAGAGACTCAACTCACATCTTTCTGTTTGCCCTTAGCCATCATAACAGTGCATACCCACCACAATAGCCTTGCTTATGTGCACAGGATTGCAGTTCAAGTGTATTTAGGGAGCTGCATAATCACACAAGCCTCTGATGAGTTTGTTCAGTAATGAGTCACTTTTAAGAAAAAACTTAGGCAGACTTGGTATTTTGCCCTACTGGTCTGTTTCTTTCTAGACTGTCGGCATAATCTGATTGTTGTTTTAGCAATGTTTTACACTCTGTTTTCTGCAGTTAAGATTGTTTGTTGGAAGGTTGGTAGAATTCAGAGTTGACCTTGGCCGTTGCATTTTAGACAAGCAGGGTGATATAAAACTCTTGTATTATCAGTATTTAGAATTCTGAAAAAAATCTGAAAAGAATTCTGATAATCCAGTTCAAAGCAGATATTGTGGGTTATCTGCCTTGATATTCTGGGTTATATGGCTTTGTGGAAGTGTCCATAGGCTCATGGCAAAACAACTGGGAGTTTGCAGCGCATTTGTAAAATCATTGTCTTGCACATATGAAATTTCATTTTAGATCTTTTGTGCTTCAGAAACCGGAGAGCTAACTGAAATTACCATCACAGTGTCAGGTCATCTGGCTTGAAAGAGCCCAGGGAGTTTGACATACAAACAAGTAAAGCACCTTTTACACTGCCATATAAAATCTGTATTATCTGCTTTGAACTGGATTATATGGCAGTGTAGACTCATATAATCCAGTTCAAATCAGAGAATGTGGACTATCTGCTGTGATAATATGGATTATATGGCTGTGTAGAAGGGGCCTAAATCTTAAATCACAGAATATCTAACTATTGGGGTGTTGGTGTTGGTTTGGGAGTTGCAGTCCAACTCCCTCCCCCCTCAAACAATGTGGCCAAACTCTGGCCTGTATAACAGTGAGCTCACCCAACTTTAGACCTGTTACTTTAGAATCTGACTAACTTTTAGTCACCAATTTTAGTTGGCTTGCAATGCTTGTTTCCTTATTTTGAAACGTGTGGAAAAGAGAGGTGTTGTTCTCCTGGAAACCGGTGCTCTCTCTGCCATCCCACTCTATTATGTATTTAAAGCAGGATAATTTGTGATTGGGAAAAAGTATAACTTTTTTGGTTAGGTATGCAAAATTAAGGGTTTATCTACACCAGACCTATACAATCTGTAATCCTTCACGTGTTTTCTGACAATTGAACAACTGGCTAGAGTTTCTGGGAATTGGAGTCCCAGACACTTGAAGGGCCACAGGTTGTACACTACACAACTGATATAGTTCGACACCAGTGCTATGCCTCAGTGCAGTGGAATCCTGGGACTTGAAGTTTGATGAAGTACTAGCGCCCCTTGGCAGAGACGCTCAAGACCTTGCAAAACTAAAACTTCCAGGATTCAATAGAATTGAGCCACTGTAGTTCAAGTGGGGTCAAGCTGCATTAATTCTACAGTCTGTGTACCCTCAGAGGCCAAATCATTTATTTATTAGATAATGCCTTTTCTTTCTTGTTTTGAGATGATGGATTTTTCCACTGAATTGAACGAAGTAGGAACATTCTATCTAGTATTCATATGCCAATTAATATGTTCATCAGAGCAAAATGCAATCGTAACCAACTTTTAACATTAAACACATGTTGAAAATACTGTATTAGGTCTGCGTGGCCTTCTTTATGTAGGCCAGAGTTCTTGAAAACTTCCTTTTTGTTGCTGCCTTTGTTCATTCTTGTCATTCTGGATTTCCAGGACATATTCCATGGCCATTCAGCTGTGTGGGGTCGTAGCTGGGAATGGGAACTGCTACAACTTCTGTATGTGGCGGAAGTGCTTGTCTATGAATGCTATTAGTGGCTGTTTTTAACTCATTTATAATTTTACTTTATTTTCTCTATCTCTAAAGCAAAAGACCAGTCTTGGTTCTGCAGAATGATGCCCTATACTCCCAAAGACGACAGTTTACTAATGAGGATGAGGCCTGGAAGTCTTTTCTTGAAAACCCACTTACGGCGGCTACCAAAGCCATGATGAGCATTAATGGGGATGAAGACAGTGCTGCTGCCTTGGGCCTCCTGTATGATTACTATAAGGTATGTCCTTGGAATTTGGGATTTTTTTTCCATGTTGAGAAACTGCAGGTCGCTTCTGGTGTGAGAGAATTTGGTGTGAGAGAATTTGGAATACTAGGTGGGCAGATCAAAGTGTGCTTGAATTGGCACACATTCTTTACTAAACATTTACTACTTGGTGGTGAACAGAACACAACTGCTTATGTAGTGTCTCCTAATAGTATAATCTGTTTTTTAGTGAAATAGTTCATTCTATCAACATCTGTGTGTCAGATAAGTGTCCCGTCCCCATCCCCCCCCATGACAGAGCAACCTGTTTTGAAATGTCTCCTTAATAGGTCACAGTGTTGGTGTGCTTTGTTGTTGAGTGCCATCTTGAATATAAAAAAAATGAAATTTACAGATGGGTGCGAGAGAGAGAGAGAAAGAGAGAGAGATGAGAAGGAAAGTACAGGCAGTCCCCTAAGTTACGAATAAGATAGGTTCTGTAGGTGTTCTGGAATTGATTTTTTTTGAAAGTCAGGACAAGTACATTTTTTAAAGTGTACCTCCAATCATGTGTGTGTGTGTGTGTGTGTGTGTGTGTGGATGGGGGATTTGACACCCTCTGATAATTGGATTTTGAAAAATTGGCTTGTTATGGAAACAAGGACTAGTGATAAAGCTTCAGTGGAGACACCTTTAACCCATGACAACTCTTTCAGGAGTGAAGTTCCCTTCCTAAGGATATATTTCGCTTACTTTTTGTTGTCTTACCTCCATTCTTAACTGTGAGTCATTTGTCAAATGTTTGTAATTCGGGGACTGCCTCAGTTAAAGACTAAGAACTTGTTTCAGAAACCATGGAAATAATTCTGTTGATGCTAATGAAACCAAGGAAATTGGCCTGAGTCCTTGTTTTATGCTATTCTTCACTGTAATTTTTTAATTTATTAACTTGGATGTTGTCTTGTTGCTGATCATTAGCCATACCAGGCCTACAAAGGGCACAGGTAACATTTTAGATCAGTAGTTCTCAACCTGGGATCCCCAGATGTTTTTGGCCTTCAACTCCCAGAAATCCTTACAGCTGGTATACTGGCTGGGATTTCTGGGAGTTGTAGGCCAAAAACATCTGGGGACCCCAGGTTGAGAACCACTGTTTTAGATGAACCTGGGCAGCCATGTTGCTTGAATTGAACTGAATTGTCTTATAGCACTCTGAACTGGATTCATGCAGTGAAATGAATTGGTAGGAGATTCAGAACAATTGGTATTTTTCATTTATACCATATGATAAATAACATACAGAGCCGTTTGTCGTTAAGTGTGAGGATGGCCACTGTTGAAATGGCTCCAGATATCCCCTGCCCGGCTTTGTCACTAATTATTAAGGTAGATATATACAGCCTCTTGATTTGATATGGTATAGCTACACTAGGCATAGGCAAACTTCTGCCCTCCAGTAGGCTGTTTGAAATTGAAGTCCAAAATACCTGGAGGGTCAAAGTTTGCCCCATGCCTGGTCAACACTGTAGAATTTTTACAGTTTGACACTACTTAGCTGCCATAGTTCAGTGCCATGGGATCTTGAGATTTGTAGTTTGGTGAGACATCAGCACTCTTTAACAGAGAAGGCTAATGAATTGTTAAACTAGAGCTCCTGTGATTCTCTAGTACCGAGCTATGGCAGCTAATGTGGGGTCAAACTGCGTTAATTGTACAATGTAGAAGCACCCACAGGTATTGGCTGGCAGAGTGGAGAAGCAGGCAGCAAGAAGAGAAGGCATTTTCTTTCTGGTGTTGTGTGTGGACTTCCATGATATATCTCACTGAAATTGATCAAGGAATCAAGGCCTTCTTAGTGTTGCTGGAAACAACCTGTTGAGTGCTGGGAGCTGCAGTCCAACAATCTTTGGAAGATTTCATGATTCCTGCCCTTATCTGGTTGTACCCTTGGCAAGCTTCTCTTTGTGCTCTAGCTTGTCAGCAGCTGAAGTGCACTGCATTTCCTGGGGGCTGACACCCATGTTTTCTTAGCACTTCCTTATGATCATGTTGACGTAGCTCTGGAAGCTTTCCTCATTCTGGGGTTTCCTTAAGTGGGTTAAGTGGATGATCTGTTTACACACTGAATGAGTTATATGCATAAATAGGCCAGTATTTGCTGCCTGTCAGTGCAGCAGAAGCCAACGGAACGTATTTTGAACTTCAACTTCATTGCCGTTATGAGCTCCAAAACTTTGGAGAGCAACTCTTTGGGGAAAACAACTCTAAATGGCTTTGTCATGGCTGCTAAATACTGAGCTAGCACGTAGTAAGGTTTGAGTGTTGAACTAGGATTCTGACAGACCAGGATTTGAAAGCTTGCTCAAACATGGAAAATCACTGGGTCTCCTTAGGCAAGTTCTGCTCTCTCAACTTCAGAGGAAAGCAATGGATTGCCAAGAAAATCCTATAATAGAGTTGCCATGGATGAAATTTGACTTGAAAGCACATAACAATGCAACAGCAATAATAGGCTGCTGGCAGTTTATACGAAGCAAAACAATTTTATCGATCAGCCAATTGGCCTTATCAAAACAGACAATATAAACACAATATACAGTGTACATGTAGTCCGAGTAAAATTATTAATATACAAGTACAGAGAGAAAAAGTGGATATGGCCAACTTATAACCAAATTACCTTAATCATAGGCACGGTATGTACATCCCCCTTACGCTGTATACCAGTCTAATCAATACTGGCAGTTTATACAAAATTGTAGCAGTCACACTGATTGCCTGCCACTAGCCGGGTGCCACATGAGGTTTCTCTGTTTTTTTTGTGGGAGTACTTCCCATTGACCCGAAAAGCTGTGATTCTAAGAGTTAGAAAAAAAATAGCCCCCCAACCAGTATTGTCATTGGCATGCAGATTTTTTGGGAGTTACAGTACAGAAAAGTGAATTTCCAATCTCTGTACTATCATTTGAACAATGTGACTGTTTCATAGTTCTAAAACTAAGGATGGGAGAGAGTGCATCACCGTTCGCGTAAGTGAAGGGCAGCAAAGATGGCTAATTTATTATTTATTTATTTATTTATTTATTTATTACTGTGCTTATATACCGCCGTTTCTCAGCCTAAATCGGCGACTCAACGCGGTTTACAACACAACGACAAGCAGCAATATTCCATTAAAAAGCAAAAAACACATACACAATACACAATATTATTGGGCCACCAATAATAATCCAATGCATCTCTTAATTGTAGTCGCAATCCAATTTCGTCGTCTGTGATTAACCAATCCTTGTTCATCAGTTTCGTTGCACCAGATTAATCGAATGCTTGTTTAAACATCCATGTCTTCAACCTTTTTCGAAATACCATCAGCGAAGGGGCTGATCTCACCTCTATGGGGAGGGCATTCCAAAGCCGAGGGGCCACCACAGAAAAGGCCCTGTCTCTCGTTCCCGCCAGCCGCACCTGTGAAGCAGGCGGGATAGAGAGCAGGGCCTCCCCAGAAGATCTTAGGGTCCTGGTGGGCTGATAGGCCGAGATACGTTCGGATAGATAAGTTGGGCCAGAACCGTTTAGGGCTTTATGAAATGCTAATGAAATGCTAATTGCTGTGCTATATCTCATATTAAATGGTAGCTCTTAAACCTAGAAGAGTCTTACCACAGCAACCCTGATCTGTGGCATATGCTTATTTTAAGTATCTAAAACTTGTCAGACCGGCTACAGGACTTGAGGGGCTACTGACCCAGTGATGTCATCTTGTTCAGCTCCAACCTTGTAAGAAAGGGGGAAAAAGAAACACTTACAGTCTTATGAAAGCGCAGGTGGATTGAGTAAGAGCAACTTAGATTGGCAGTTGTGTGCCTTGAAGTCTTTAACCAGAACCACCTCATCCTTGAGCAAGCGAGTTCCTCATCCTTTTTTTGTTGTTAAAATGTATTTTGTGTGTGTTATTACTTGCTGAACTGGCTTTCTCTCTGTGTGTGGGTGTGTAAGTGTTTTTTTAAGGTATGTGGACACATTACTGCTACAGATGAGAGTTTAGGATCCACCTCCTTCTCCAGTTCAGGAGACATTGGTGAGATAGTTAGTGGATGTTGCTCAACCCTTTCTCCATTTCTAGTTTATTTCTTTTAAACGTTCCCTACTCCATCTCCTCCATTCCATTGGGTATTACAAGGAAAACATGTGTAGGGAACCCTGTTTATAGAATAGTTCCACACCAAGCATGTTTAAGAGTGTTCACCTTGTTTTCGGGGCAAAAAAGATGGGGGTTAGCATTCTGTATAGCTGTTATAGATTCATAACCTATACTCCTGGGTCCATAACTGCTTTCTATTCACTAATACTACTTCGTTACGATTGGAGCTCTATTGCCACGATCATAAATTCCCTCCCAAATCTACCGTATATACTCGAGTGTAAGCCAAGTTTTTCAGCCCTTGTTCAGCTGAAAAAGCCCCCCTCTGCTTCTACTTGAATCAAAGTTATTTATTATTTTACTGGGTTATCATTATTATTTTTAAATTACATTTATTATTTTACTTTATTTCTCATTATTATTGTTACATTTATATTACTTTGTTATTATTTTTATTACTTTTATTTTACTTTGTTACATTTATTATTTTTCTCTATTTTTTACATTTATTATTTTTCTCTATTATTATTGAAAGGATATGTAAGCACATTTACATTGAAGAGGTTAGAATAATGGTTTAATCAGAGTTGGACAGTCTTATCTTAAATTACAGTTTTATGTAATATTCAAAAACATTTAACCTACTGATGCCTCAATTAATGTAATTTTATTGGTATCTATTTTTATTTTTGAAATTTACCAGTAGCTGCAGCATTTCCCACTCTCGGCTTATACTTGAGTCAATACATTTTTCCAGTTTTTTGTGGTAAAATTAGATTTCTTGGCTTATATTCGTGTTGGCTTTTACTCGAGTATATACGAGTACTTTACTAGGCAGCAGCCACACTGAGAGGTGGTGGTCTGTTGTGACGGTGATCATGGAGGGAGGGAATTTTGATGTTTCAACCTTTTTCCTACATTCAAATGAGACTACAGTAATGAGAATAGGACACTTGTCACAATTCCTTGTAACAGTGTTGCTTGAACTCTGATTGGTAGCGGAACAGATGTAGAATATAGTTTGGAAATTCTCAGGTATGCAAATTAGCATGAAAATACATCTTCGCAAAACTGGTATCTCATACTTGATTTATAAGTTAACAAAGCACTGTTTTACAATTTTGGTTCTATTACAATAAATTCCCTCTTACTCATTCTGTACAACATTTAATAATAATCTCCTCTTTCCCACCCCACTCCCAACTTCTATTTGGACTGGAAGCCATTTATTACAACTCTCCTACTCCTTTTTAAAAACTTGTCATCAGCCTCTAATTTCTGTTGATTAAAGCGGGTGTTTCCACTGTCATTTAAATGGCTTGCATTTGTTAGGGAAAGGTGTTTAGATGCAAAGGTGTTGCTGATATAGCAGCTTTCAGTGCTGGAGGACATTGAGAGAATTTCACCTGATGTGCAAATTGGCTAATTCCACATAATGTGCAACTTTATGTTTGCAGTACTAATTGCCACCTTCAAGCTTGGCAGCATTATAAGTACTACCAGTCACACATATGTTTTTTTTTCTTTTTTCTTTCTTTCTTTTTAAATCATTATTTCAACTGGGTTGTCTTAAAATAGAAGTGAATTATTCTAATTGCATTTTTGGCTGGCATTTAACAACCCATGCCAGAGAATGCAAATTGTACTTGAAAAGCATAATGTTACTATCTAGTGGTCCTGCACCTACACTTGAATGTAAAAAAAAAAAAACCCACTATAGGAGAAAGAGTTGAACAACAGGGTTTAATAAGGGGTTTGGCTTAATCATGTGATTTAACTGTGAAGCTTTTTGGTGGCTTAGATAATCTCAGTCCGAGTTTGTATAAAGTCACATTTTGAGATTAGAATTTTTAGGATCCCTACCAGGATTCTGGGAAGGACAATAAAAGAGTAACTTTTCCAAACTCACTTTTGAGCAAGGACAAATCTGACAACGAGGCAAGTTGTTTTCTGCAAATAGTTTCAGGACTAAATTCTTATGCCCTTAATAAGATCTGCAATAGATATTGTCTATTTGTCTTACCTCATTTTCTGTTTTGGTGACACGATCAAAGAAAGCTTACTGTTGCAATATCCTCTGAATAGATGTGAGCAACTTATTTTTTTGTTTCATACTTGAAGGTTCCCCGGAGAACATCGGCAGTGAAACCTGATGTTGATCATTCTGACCAAGACCATGGCAAAAGGTTTAGTATTCAATATTTGCCTTAAAAAAACATCCACTTTATTCCTGACACCTCCTGGGAGATGAGAATGGGTTTTAAATATAGGGATACCTCCCATAACAAATCTTCTGACAAAGAAACTCTCTTTTACACACTCTCTTTATGCCTTCCCAGGCAACCCCCCCCCCCCCCCCCCCCCCCCGCTTGTTCTTTGTGCAGCCAGAGTCTTTTAGTTTCCTTGTTTGTTGAGCAAGAATCACCATTGGGAGGATGGTGAAGGAGATCTAGAGAAATATAGATTTTCGGTGCCTGGGTGAAATGGCATACCTTTACTAAACAATGCAAAACTGAAAAGGAGTAGGTTTTCCTCTCGCCAATACTACTAAACAGTGTCTGCATGCCTACAACAGGCAAAGTTACACAGCAGCCTTTGAAAGTGAAGTTGCGTCCTGTGATGGAAACTTGTATGGAAACGATGTTGCTCTGCCAACTATCTCTTGTATGGAATGCAGTTGCTGATAGGGATGGCTTCAACCCAAGCTTCAAAACAATAGCTGTATATCACCTGCATACCTTTCTTCAGATAGCTTGTGATGGAGTCCAAGAGCTATCAAACTACTGATGGACAATCATGGATAGCTTATATATTCTGATCCAAGAAATTCCCTACCTAGCTCATTATCCAGACTAGCTTTACTCCATATTATAGTGTAAAGTAGACAACATGTTCCCATGGATTAAGTGCACACACCCCTTTTTTCAGTTTCCTAACCTCCATCATTAAAAATGGATGCTTGCATTCCCAGAAATGTGATTCATCTTTAAAAATAGATGTCCGGGTCTATAATCAAAACCATCCTTTTTTTTACCTGTCAAATTGAGCTTTGGCTAATGCTAGCTTCATCAAGAGGAAATATATGCTTTTTCTACCAGTTGATAGCACTCAAGGTAGAAGTGGATAGAGAGGCTCTGCATAGTTGCTGAAGGCTGAGATGCAAAAGTATTACAGGTCCTAGCCATTAAAATACTATTCCATTACAGACCTGGGGGCCTTTTGGCAATTCCCGCTATACAATTACAGAACTATGATTCCACTTTCAATGTCATGTCAATATTTAACGGAACCCCAGGGATTTGATCTTTAGGGAGAAATATGTAATGTTCTCATCGATAGAACTCTAATGACTTCTACAAAACCTAGAATCTCATAGGGATAGAATCATGGCAGTAAAGTTGGAATCATAGTTCTGTAATTATGAAATGGCTCCTGCATGTAAGCAGCCTTGCCCTCACCCACAATATGTAAGTAATACAGTAGACCTGCTTATTATGTGAGCTCTTTGAACATGATTTGTTACACACAAAGAACTTTGAAAATCTCAGAAATATGGTGGAGAACCTACTGATGGCTGGAAGAGTGTTCCCTCTAAGCCTCCAGGGCAGTTCTCTGGTGAAGTTCCACCAGACATTGACCATAGACTTACACTGCAGACCTGACGAGGACACTTCTCTAGGCATTGCTCCTGTATGATTCTGTGGTATGCATTGGCAGGAAGCCAAGTCATCATTCAATCCAAGTAATCAAAATAGAGTTCCAGATTATTGGCTTGGGACGGGAAGTGTTTTGTATTTCAGATTTTGGAATACTTGTACTTACATATTCATACTTATGAGAAACCTTGGAGAAGGGACTCAAGAAATACTTTTGTGTTTCATATACACTTTATACACATAGTTTGAAGGTAATTTTATGCCCAACATTTTTAATAATTTGGTGCATGAAACAAAGTTGGTGGACATTGTGCTATCAGAAAGCAAAGGTGTTAGTATCTTAGGCACACATGGGATCAATTTTGGATTTTGGACTAGTTCAGGTTTCCATAAAAAGATTCTCAGCCTATACATGAAGGGAATCCCTCGGGTCACTTCAGGGCCTACACTACAAGTTTCTGACATACTGGAAGTAATTGGAAAATCCTTCCAGGACAGAGCAGCCTTGAGTTCTAGTTTTTGCCATGTTAGAAATGGATACTTAATGTTATACCTGATCCATTTTTTTTTTTTTTAGGAACAGTATACCAAACATGACTGAACAGGCACTCATCGCTGGTGGGGAAAACCAGGTCCAGGTCTTGAAAAACATGCCTTTGAATATTGTTCTCCCTCACACTTCCCAAATGAATGTTGACAAGAGGAACCACCTGACGCCTCCAGACACCACCGTCACGGTCTCTATTGCCTCCATGCCCACCCACTCAATCAAGACAGAAACTCAGTCACACAGCTTTACTGTGGGCATCCCTCCTGCGGGCATCTATCACTCGGAAGCACCTGATCCAGTTGTGGTTTTAGACAGGCGTCTCAATACTGACCAGTTTAATTCTGCCACCCCAACACAGAATTCCCAGCGGAGGACTCCAGATTCTACCTTCTCAGAGTCTTTTAAAGAAGGCGTGCAAGAGGTGTGGAAACTGCCTGACTCTTTTGGTTATGGTGCTCTGTGAAGCAGGGGTGGGCAGGCTGCTGATGGACAGCACCTACAAAAGTATGATAATTAGTCATCAGAAGAAGATGTGCAAAATAGTGAGGAGAGGGAGCAAAGTGAGGCCTGTGGTCTGCTACATATCTGAGCCATCCCTCCACATTTGCAGTTTTGACTTTTCTGGGTTTGATTATTCAAGGATTTGTTTTGAAATGCCCTCTCTAGAACCTGTAGGTCGTCCTGTGCAAATCTTTGGCCAACTTCTAGCAGAATCATGTAGCCCTTCAGGTGTTCATAGACTGTGATTTCTGGCATCCCTAGCCAACATAAACAATCACGAGGAATGCTGGTGTTACCTTTTGGTTTGAGACGCCGTATAATTCCCACTTCTGTTCAAGAGTTACTAGAATTGTTATTTTTAAATTACATCTTTTAAAAAAGCTGAATGCTACAAATTACTGCCTTGTCATGCAGAATCATAGTCATAGAATAATAGAGTTGGAAGAGACCTCGTGGGTCATCCAGTCCAACCCCCTGCCAAATGTTCTCCTATTCATTTTGTTATACATTTCATTAACTTGAGGCATAGAGCACGAACCAAATAATATACCGCTTTCACTATTTATTGAACTCACACTCCTATAATTATAAAAGTAACTATCACAAAAGGGATGAAGTTATGCCCCACTAAGTTACAGTTGCTTTGTTATGTCTTGATTATTGGAGAAAGAGTGATTACAAGTAACTGCATTCATCCCTCCACATCTTCTGTGGTTTGGGGCACAGGTCTCCATGAAATTGAAAAAAAAAACACAAATAAAGAAATTGTAGTTTGTTTTTTTTACCTGAAAGAACATCTCTCTAAAAATGTCTGGATCCTCCACACTGAAGGGTTTAGAGGTATTATTTCTAGGTTCTCCAGCGTGATGGGAGGAATAATCAAATTCATAAAATTCAAGGCTCAAAATGTGGAGGACCAACTGTAATAATTGCTAGCTTGTTAATTCAAATTTCTGAAGAGAAGGTCCTGAGTAAATTTTCAGTGCCCTCTCTCATAACTGGCAGAAGTAGGTAGAATACTGGAATCTGGGTAATAAATGTATATAAATGCAGAATAAGAGAGCATGGAACATGTGAAGTTTATAAATCAAATGAATTAAACTTGTGCAGGTCAATGAAACAATGTTTATTTTTTAATTTTTAAAAGCAGAAAATACATTTAGTCCTGTAGTCAAAGAACAACTGCCTCAATTGCTCCTCTACTCCATAATCTGTGAATGAATATCAGGTTCTTATTTAGTTCTTAAATAAACCTGAAATCCCAGTCCAGTGGATTAGAAACGGAAGATATTCTCACAAGGAGCTGTGGGAATAGCACACAGTAGTGTTTTTTTAAATCTACTGTACAATACAAAATCACTAGCAAGAATGTGTGGCTCATTTTACAGGGCACATGGTTCATTAAGCTTGATTATATGGTAGTAATAATACCTGCAAGGCATAAATATAAAGAGCAATACTTGAAAATTTATTTTTTTGGGAAGGGGATGACTATGGCTCCTAGAATCTGTTGGGGGGAAAAAACTAAACATTTCCAAGCTCTGGAAAGAGATGTAAAGACTTCTAAAACTTTGGGTGTCTTATTCAAATCCCAGAGATGGAGTAGCACTGGAACTAAGCATTTTTTCCTACTACTGTTGCTCTGTGGCTTCTAAAATCTAAATGCCAGATTTCGATACATCTATATCATAGAATTAATGCTGTTTGATGCCACTTGAACTGCCATGTCTTAATGTATTTAATCAGGGCAATTGTCGTTTGACAAGATTTTAAAACTTCTCTGGCAAAGAGCCCTGGTACCTCGGCAAACTACAAATCTCAGGATTCCATATCACTGAGTCATGGCAGTAAAATGGTATCAAATTGCAGTATAATTTAGATGCCCCTCATGTTCAGGAATCACAATGTGTAAATGAATATTTTTCTTTACATTCCTTTTTACCATTAGTTTATCTTTTGGATCAAAGATTTTTTGTTGGAATATTCAGTTTTATTTGTCTTCAAAACAAAATTGGAGAAAGGAATGAAGACAAACAGCTAGGGCGAGAAGTGTGCTCTCTAATATTAGCCCTAAGCATCAAGCCACCTAATCATGTTACATATTCTGTGTTATGTATCCGATATGAAATGATAACAGATGTTGAAACAACACATACGGCATCACCATATCTGGGTTACCTAGTCCAACCTTGGCGTACTCCCCTTAGAGTGTTTCAGCTAAAAAGCAGGTTTAGAATAAGGGCTTTGCCACCTACACTGAATTTTTCCCTTCAGTCTCCAAATTTGCAGCTGAGAGTGAGGCATATCTGCAACTTTTTGCTGTGTTTGCTTTCTCTTGCTAATTTTCCCTGCTTTTTTGTTTGCATGCTTACACTGTGTTTCTAAATATTCAACTGAAGTTTTAAATTTGCTACAGTGATCAAAATGTGAGAACTTAAGGAAAATTTCATTGCAGTCCAGAATTCTTATTTTTAGTAGCAACACTCTCCTTTTGCCCTATGCCCACTTCTATTCCCTTTTGCTGGCTGTTTGGGAACTGGTACAGGCCTGCAAGCTGTGTATTAATTATACATTTATGACTGGAGCATCCTTAGAAACTGACTCCCACGCCTGAAATGGCAATTAATACTTCCAGGTTTTTTTCCCCGCCGAGCTGAACCTCCGGATGTCCAACATGGGTTCTGAAGACTACGTGTTTGAAAGCATCGCTGGGTAAGAGGAAGTCTCTTCCATAGTTAGTATTTCTCAGCCTGGTGAAGGAGAGCTTAAAGAGCTGCGGGACCCTCCCTCAACCCTCCAGGGTATAAGTCATTGGGTAGTGCCAATGCTGACAGTCCTGGATTAGTTTGAAATGTGGCCGTATTTTTTAAAAAAACTTGCCAAACAGGGCATGTGCTCTTGCTATAAGCTCAGTTTGCTGACATCATAGGAATGTCAGACACACAAGAGAGTCCTTTGGTAAAATGAGGTCCCTCCCCCCCCCTCCCATTTTGAAAAGTGGCTGCAAAGATGCCAAAGCAAGTGTGGTGAACCTGTGCTAGCAAGCAAAACAAGACAGCGGAAGTGAATTTGACCCCTTTTTCTAAATCTGTGCAGTGCAGTGAGTAACAAGACTGAGGGAGAATTAGTTAAGCTCTAGTTTTGAATCTTGCTTTGGTCATTTAACTGAGTATGTGGTTTAAAAGCACCATCTGCTTTAATTTTTGCCTGCAATTTGAAGGATAATAATAGTGATATATCTTAACATTCATTTGAAGGACTTGAAAATATGCATATCTCACTGTTGTAACTTCTCCATAAGGAATGTTTTCTTTTCTACCTTTGCTGGGATTAGGGGCACAGGACCCCCATGACAGTGTGAAAACAACAAATACTGTTGTTTTTAACCTTCAAGAACATTTCTCTCTGAATTTCTAGGTCCTCCAGCATGACTCTATGAATAACTTCTGCTGGATGCAGGCCCGTAGCCAGGATTTTGATTCGGGAGGGGCTGAGTTTTATTTGGGGAGGGGCTGAGTCTGAGTGAAAGAGGGTCTACCCTAGCAAACCCTTTGTATCATTACCCCAATACCCCCATGCATATGGGATATATTGAGCATGGTGATCAGATCATGATATGAATAAACATAACAGTTTAAATAATGTACCAGTAAGGCCTTCTCGCGGACCACCATCAGCATTTCGGGGGGGGGGAGGCTGAAGCCCCTCAACCCCCCCCCCCCCCCGGCTACATGCCTGGCTGGATGTTGATCGTAGAGTCGCACCAGAATACTTAGAGATAACATTTAAAACAAATTAACAAATGATCACATCTCAAAAGCCAATCCCATAAAAGTCAAATCTGCAAATGTGACAGCTTTAGAGGCTGTTAGACAAAGTTGGAGCTACTAGTCATGGTGGGCATGTATTACTTTCAGTATCGATACTTGTATCTCGCAGTTGAAGTGGAAGGGTTGCAATTATGTTATGACCTGTTTCCCAGAATTATTTAGATACACCAATTGAAGGAAGAATGCATCTTATGATGTGGCCATAATAAGAGAAGCCTTACTTATGGGTTGAATGGTCAGTGGTGGCCAGCTCCATTCTCTATTCTCTGTATTCTATCTATAGTATGTTCGATGTTGAATGTAGACCCTTTCCAATGTTGCCTTCTTAATCTCTGCCTTCTGACTTGCCAGAAACAATTTTGAATACACATTGGAAGCTTCTAAATCTCTGCGACAGAAGCCAGGAGATAATACCATGACTTACCTAAACAAGGGGCAGTTTTATCCCATTACACTGAAAGAAATGAGTGGCGGTGAAGGGATCCATCAACCCATCAGCAAAGTTCGAGTGAGTTACCTCTGCAGACTTCTATGTAGATCAGAAGGTGCCAGTGAAAGGGGTGGTGTAATATATGGAGCAAGCTGGAGGTTGCACAGTTTTTATGGACTAACCTAGAATCTATTTTCATTGGGATTCTTGTCAAGTTATTTATAGATGCATGTGCATACCTGGCATGTGTACACGCGTATCCCAAAGTCCATATTGGTTGTAATACCAATCAAAATGTTCTAGTCCAGTGGTTCTCAACCTGTGGGTCTCCATGTGTTTTGGTCTTCAACTCCCAGAAAGCCTAACAGCTGGTAAACTGGCTGGGATTTCTGGGAGTTGTAGGTCAAAACACCTGGAAACTCACAGGTGGAGAACCACTGCTGTAGTCTAAGGTCTAGGTGGTAAATTTTTAAACCAAGCTTTTTGTGTATTTTTGTTTGTTATCCTAATCAATGTATTTACCACTGCCTGCAAGGAACCCCTGGTGGCACAGTGGGTTAAACCCCTGTGCCGGCAGGACCGACAGGTCGCAGGTTTGAATCCGGGGAGAGTGTGGATGAGCTCCCTCTATCAGGTCCAGCTCCCCTTTGTGGGGACATGAGAGAAGCCTCCCGCAAGGATGGTAAAACATCAAAACATCCGGGCGTCCCCTGGGCAAAATCCTTGCAGACAGCCAATTCTCTCACACCAGAAGCAACTTGCAGTCTCTCAAGTTGTTCCTGACATGACAAAAAACAAAACAAAAAACCATTGTCTGCACTTCAAAATTTGGATTTGTATGGCATCCACATATTGTGGTTCATGCCTCCCCTCCCAAGGTGGTACTTCTGATTCAAAATGCCCTTCCCATCTTGGGAGGATCTTTTCAATAAACCTATCCATTGTATACAGATTGAAAAGCTCACTTGCATGCAAATTGTTAGGATTGCATAGTTGGTTAACTAGTGAGGAACTGTCATCAAATGTCAGCTTTAAAAAAGAAAAGCAAAGAGCTGGGACAACACAGAGTTGAAGTTAAGCCACAAGAATAAAAAACACACCCATCCTTCTTACAGAGGGTTTTTGCCAAAGACCCTCTGGCCTTGCTGTCAGCTAAGCTCGCCTGTCTCTTCCCCGCCTCCTTCTTTTTCCTGCTTTTTGAAGAGTGTCATCATGGTTGTATTTGCTGAAGACAAAACAAGAGAAGATCAGCTCAGGCATTGGAAGTACTGGCACTCCAGGCAGCACACAGCCAAACAAAGGTGCATTGACATAGGTAAGAAGCCACCCAGCCACAGGTGCCAAAGCTCTGCTTGGCAGGTTTCAATTCCTCTGCTCTGTTTTTTGTACTGAAGGTGACTTGGAGGCCCAGAACTCTCCTCAGTCAGGGCTCTATCTTCACATGACTTGTGTTCTGTTTCCTCGCCTTTTTTGTGTTGAGTGCTGATAACCCAAATTCGTAGATCAAAACCCACATTTGAAGAGTGCCAAGATGAGGAAAGTGTGCTCCCCCAAGTTGATACTGGAGTTCAGCCCCTAGCATCACTCACTATGGCTAGGGCTAATGGGAATGTCACCCAAACCGTTAGAGAACCACACATTTTCCACTGGTTCCAACATGAAGCTTTGAGTCTCCTTGTGGAGAGAAAAAGTGGGGTATAAATTAACAAAATAATAGTAATAATAATAATAATAATACTTCAAGAGGGTTGATCACCATTCCTCTGACTGGTAGTGTTTTTTAAAGTGATTGTGGAATTGTTCAGACTGAAGTCAGAAATATTGCAATCTTACGTTTGAACTGCCATTTTGCTGCTAAAATCCTCTTGTGGGGGGGGGGGGGTGTCATGTGTGGATCTGTAAAATTTTGAAGAGCCGCACTTTCAACTTTACTTATTTCTTCCAGGGATGATCGAACTAAATGCCTAATTACTTTCCTCCATTTTAAGCACATCTCTCCCTTAACCACGAGTTGCTTGGGCTCCAAACCTACCCACAGTTCATGACCTGTGCATGGGAACCACCCATACCCATTAATCATAAACATGTATTTATTAGCCGGGGTGAGAAGATATATTCTGTGCATAGGCAAAACAGTTGTTGCACATTGTTTGAAATATCAGAATGGAGGTTCTAGTGTGAAAAAAGAAGTTATAATATTGAAATGAATCTCTGGAGTTAGGCAAACCCTAAATACGGCTGGGTCAGAAAAAATAAAAGACTACAGTTATACCTATTTGCTTGTGGCCAAACCTGATTTTGGCATGCTTCCAGGTTTCACTTCCAGCCCTCCTCTTCTGTGAATAATCACTTGGTACATGGAGGTAGATAAAGTTGCAAATCATCCTTTATTACTGAAGGAGACTTTATGAAGGACTCACAAAGAATCACCATAAAGAGTTGTGGTGGGTGACATTTCCCAAACAAACTCACAAGGCAAGGCAAAAACAGTAGATACTACCTCAACCAGTCTTACTTTCTGTGTGTTTCCCTCTTCTTTTGAGAACTTTTCCTTTCTTTTCCTGGTTTTTACATTTTTAAAAGGGAAAAAATCTTGTCTAAGAGTTGCCCGTAAGCATATTTTACTTCCTTTTAACGTTCTATAAAGTAATATGAAGAAATATTACTTTATAGAAAGTTTGGTATCTTTACATGTATATGTGAATGAGAGATTATCACCCTTTGATCTTTTTATTTTATTAACAGCTGATTATAAGGAAAGCTTCAACACCATCAGTAACATCGAGGAGATAGCCTACAATGCCATCTCCTTTAGTTGGGACATCAATGATGAAGCAAAGGTAAGTTCCAAAGGTTATATTTCCTTTTGGTATGTAAGAAAATAAAGAAGCTTGCAATAGCCACATTCTAAGCTTATTTTTGTTTTTGAGTTAAGAAATAGCTTTAGGGAGTTTGTTAAAGTGTTCTTGGATACGAATAAAGTTTGGAAGCTGCTGAATAATCTTTTGGCCTATCTGAATTATGGAAAAGTGAGAAGAAAAGCAGTGCCTTTTTTCTGAGTCCTCATCTCCATCTCAGTTTTTAGAGTTTGGAAAAGTTCCTTTTTGGGGGCTACAACTCCCACAATTCTATAGCCAGAACTGAGGGATCCTATGAGTTGTAGCTCAAAAATAAATCTTTTCAATATTTTCCCAAATGTGGCTTTACATAACTGTGTAATGGTGACAAGAAGGAGGAAACTATGGGCAGCCCTTTCAATTCAGTTCCACTTGAAAAGACTGTCTGGCAGTTTGTCAGGATCTCACGCCGCTGAACCTATTCAAACACCCAGTTTTCAGTCACCTAAGTTTAAATAAAGGTGTGTTTGCAAGCTACAACTTGTAGCCCTCTGAAAGCAGTCTGTCTCCACCATCTCCACGTTTCGTGTCAGACATACTTAATTCTGTCCCCTTAATTCTCATTTGTAGTGCATAGGTTTCTAAAGAATGTAGCATTTCAGAAAATTTTCAACCAGAGCTTAGAAACGTTACTTTATTTTGCACCAGAATTCCACTGGCCGTGCTGGTTTGGGGGATTTGGAGATCTGTAGTCCATCAAAGTGATGATTCGAATCGATGATTCGAGTAGTTCAAGTGACAATTCAAGTTGTATTGTTATGTGAAGCCTTTATGTATGGCAACCTAAGCTATTTTGTTGGCTGTTTTAGGGCTGTTGGATAGGAGAGTTGTCATCCAAAGTTTCTCAACAACCATCTCATTTAGGGCCTGATTGGGGTCATGTCCTATGTCCTGTCGCAACCATGTCAGTTTGAGTTTTGGTTAAGAAAGGGAGGAAGTTTTTGAAAGTGTTCATGTTTCTGTAGCTTGGTTTGATGTTGTTCCTTATTAAGTTTACTTTGATGTGGTTATGCCTTAATTGTTAGGATAAATGAATTAATTGCAGTATCTTGTTATTTGCAACTATGCATTTCCATGCTTTGCTGTACAAACTCTGATGCTTTGCATAATCTTGTTCAAGCAGTAATAAGGGCTACATGTTCAGAGTGTACTTTCTTTAGCAAGACTTATGAATGTCCTGCTATCAGATCAGGTAGACTTTTCACACTACACAATCATAGCACCATGACACCATTTTAATTGCTATGACAACCTCCTGTGAAATTTTGGGATTTCCAATTTAGGGAGGGGCATTTAGAGCTGTCAGCCAGCGAGCTTCTCTTGCAACTTACCAAACCAGAAACTCCAGGTTTGCATAGGAAGTTGCCATGGCATAATGTTATTAATATGTTGTGTGAAAGGGTCCCTGGGTTAGTGGGATCTTTATTTCTGTCACCCTGGTGACCTTTAAAATCAAATCCCCATATCTGGGACTATTGATAGTACATGATTTGAGAGTTCAGTTATAGTCCTGTTTATTCAAAATTAAGTCCCATTGAATGCAGTAGAGTTACTTGGTTGAAAGGGTTAGAATAGTACCTCTGAATTTCTGTGAGTTGGTCTAGTGCAGTAGTTCCCAACCTGTGGTCTGTAGACCACCAAGAATGACAGTATGGTCCGCAGCCTCACCATTACCACACTGTTGCCTCGAAACCACGCAGCAACGAGAGGGACTGGTCTCATGAAACCCTCTTATAGTGCCAAGGTATCAGGGATGTTGGGAGGGGAGAGACTGACTACCCACAAAAAATTGCTACTACCACATCAGCTCTAGATTTTTTAACCCACTGCGGTGGCGCAGTAGGTTAAACCCCTGTGCCGGCAGGACTGAAGACCAACAGGTTGCAGGTTTGAATCCAGGGGGAGCGTGGATGAGCTCCCTCTATCAGCTCCAGCTCCTCATGCGGAGACATGAGAGAAGCCTCCCACAAGAATGATAAAAACATCAAATAATCTGGGCGTCCCCTGGGTAACGCCCTTGCAGACGGCCAATTCTCTCACACCAGAAGCAACTTGCAGTTTCTCAAGTTGCTTCTGACACGACAAAAAAACCTCTAGATTATTAAATATGGTTTTCTGTGGGTGAGCAGATGGCGACTACTGAATGGCATATGTTCTGTATCAGAAACTAGAGCCGATGTGGCCTATCCAGTGCAATTTTCTGAATCATCACCTCAAATCACCAGACCGAATATAAAGTAAAATGGTAGGAACCACTGGTCTACTGCTTGATCAGAATGGTTCAATATGTTGCCTGTCATCTGAAAGCCTCAACTGAAACCTCTACTTAGCCATTTACCCTCAAATTGTCCTTAGTTAATCTTAGAACCACTCTCTTCATATACATCCTCCCTGCTTAATTGACTGCAAACTACTTTGAATTTTGAACCCAGCTTGCAACAATTGAAGTAAGCTGAGGAGAAAGGAGGATGAAAGAGAAACTGGAACATTTTCCAAGAAACTGAAAAAGTGGGAGGACAAAGGATTAAATCAGCGCCATCACTGCCAAATCGGGACCAATGGACAGTATGATACTATCCTATTTTACAGAGCTGTTTATAAGGAATATAGTGGAGAGATAATACATGTAGACTCTTAGATCAAGGTTAGCAGTTTTGTTTTATTTCTGATGTGGGTAAGGAAGGATTTTCAGAAGAGGATGTATTTAAGCAGTAGATGGGACTAAAGGCAGGAATGGAGAAGCCAGACCCAATATAGTTCTTTGCTCTTTGCAAACTTTCCCACCAACTGTACTAAGCAGTGCTGAATTCTATATCTGTTTTCTCAGAGGTGAGTGCAACACTTTCATAATCTGCAAACTAGACCTCATGTCTACAGAACTCGGGTCCTAGTTTTTAAATCAACGCTTAGATCTGATTGTGGTGATCAGAGATAACGTCAATAGATGCTGTACCACAGACCAGAATTTCCTCATCCCTGTCTTCCAGCACACAGAGACAATGCTTTGGGACAACATCATATCACTGTCTCGTCCAATGTTCTCTTCCCACAGTTGGCTGACTGAATGCTTCTGGGAAGCCCTTGAGCTGGGGCCTGGGTAGAGTAGCATAGAACTGATGTTCAGAGAGATAGTGAGTATATATTCCTCAAGGTACCATGTGGCCATTATAATTAGTTGCCATTAACAGCTTTGGGGTTGACTAATATCTTTACTTCTTTTGTGTCAGTGAATTCTACAGTGCAACTATGGCTTTTGTGTGCCACACCTCAAATTTCTCTTTATCCAGTATCTATCGGATGAGCCAAACATCTAGTTTTAGAAAAGGAGTTCCCCTTCCTCTTTCCTATCTACTCCCTCCACCCCCAAATCAGGCATAATGTTATACACCTCTTATTATTAATAATATTATGCTATTGCATCATTTTAATCCTTTCTTTACCCTTCCCAGCAAGCATCTATGGACTCCAGCCAATATTTAGTGTTCACCCATTGTAGTACTGTTTTCCTACTGCCACATATTGGCTGAGGAGAATAATTCCCAAAAGGAATCAGAGACTATATGGAAGATGGTGGCCGGTATCAGCTCTTGTAGACACACATGATATGGGGATAAACAGACTCTCTTGTGTTGGAATGTTTCCTCCTTATCCCCACACCCTTTGTTCACCATCTTGACCTTGTAACCTTTGTAATTCAGAAAATATCAGGCATCTTATGGCAGTTGCCCTTTCTCCAGCTGTACTTGATAGATGATCTGGGCAGTTGTTCAGAAAGGGAGGAAATGGGAGACTTTGAAGGTTTAATTTGGCAGTGGGTTCTTCAAAGAAGGATTTGAGGGCAAAGAAGAAGTCGATAAAGGGATGGGCGGGGAAAGGTGTTCCAAACTTTTATTGCTAAATAAATATTCTCTTCTCAGTAGGTAAGCCTTATGTGTTTATCCTTCCAGCCCAAATGGCAGTGTGTCAGCTTATTATGCCTAAAATGCCATTACTTGTGTGAAGTGGGTATTGAATACAAAATTTGCCCACATGATGCATGGTTTTCATTAAAGCTTGGAAGAGTTACTGTTTTTTTGGATGAAAATACCCACAAACAATCTTCAACCCTGACTGGTTGGATTGATGAGCATTGCAGTCCAACAACATTTGGGAACCCAAGGCTGGAAAAGGCTGGTACAAAGTATGTTAAACATACTTCCCTCCCCACTCCCAAAAGCAGAAACACCTTCAATTTTATTTTGATTGAATAAAAACTACAAATAAATGAGGTGCCAAAAAAGTTTAAAATGACTTCCTTAGTATGTGTTGGATTGCCAAATCACCTATTTGGCTTTTCTTGGTTTTCTAAGTGAATGTATTTGATGGTGGTTCTTAATCAGATTATTTGTAGACAGAGCACCAATTCTTTCCCACTGCTCGGATCTTATCAGGAAGAGACCTAGCCAATTTCAACATTTTTATTGCATGGTTCATTGGACCTGTTGCTTTTCTACTTTTCTTTTCACAAAGGTCTTATGTGGTACATTGCAGGATAGGGAAAAGAGCTAGAACAAAAACCACATGCTTAGAATGAAGTGTTTCATTAATTTTATATTATTATAATGAAGATATTGAATTTCACCTTAAATGCTTTTATAAACGGGCGTGCATAATAACTGTATACTGGGGCAAATTTCATTTGGTTTATCTAGGACTACAGTTGGTTTGTCATTCAAAGATATTACATATGTGAGTGTAGGAGATCTCACTGTGTGAAAAAAGTTAACCCTTTGGACTACTGTTTCCATAATCCCCAGCCAGCACTGGCACTGATTATACTGGCTGGGAGATTTTTGCAGCTATAATAAAAAAAACTTTCCCCCCCTCCCCCCAAGCTCCTGAGAGCACTTATAAAAAGCGATATGTATGCATCTCCCAGGATGATTACAATTTTATTCCTTCAT